GCCTCGAGCGCCGCGGACGTTTCCTCTGCGACTGCAGCGGCACAGGTCAGTGCACACTCGCAGTCGTCATTCGTCACTCTCGAAAATACAGATCGACTTTACTGCAAACGTGGGAAAAATTATCTGAAAACAAACAAAAATAGGCATTGAGACGTCATGCCGAGGATCGATACCGTATCGTGCGATAAGGCGGCGGCTATCGCGAGATCTGCTGATAGCGCGACACCGCGCGCCGCCAGCGCCGCTCAAACTTTATAAAATACTTATTAAAACGTGCAAAAAATATTCCTTTGTCCAATAAATATGTTTGGTCGGCGTTGTTTGTATTTAATGACCATTCACGTGGATCATTTTTCAAGCTACAAAGTTCCCTGTATTGCGGGAGATGTGTGTGAATATTTTATGTGTCAAGTTTCCTTAACTGAATTCACGGATGCGTCGATCAATATAATGTTATGTACCTCAGTTTTTGTGGTTTAAAAACGGTTTTGATTCCTTAAATAGTCAAACACTTCTCGCGTCTGTCGCAATTACAATGAATGACTGTAACCAAACTCAATCGATGCTCCGACGCCGGCTGTCCCTTACAATGGATTGTAGTCGGTCGGCGGCGGCCGCGGTCACGCGACTGCATCTGCATCCGCGTCTGCAACTGTCTGTGGGTCGTTATAATTAATAAATTCATTGAGTGTCATCTCACTGTGCGAGAGACGGGGGCGGGGCGGGGCGGGGTGTGGGGGTGTCGGGTCTAGAAATATACTCGCAGTTTGTGAATCACTGGGCGACGGCGGGAGCGAGGCCGCGGCCAGTGTTGTCGAGGCGCTGGAGGCGGCGCTGTGCAGCTAGAGTGTAGTGTGTTGTGTTTTGTGCAACTGTGTCTGTGCGAGGGGCGCGTGGGGCGCGTGGGGCGCGTGGGGCACGTGTGTGGGTGTGAGGTCGCGCGGCATGCGGCGCGCGCGGCTCCTCATCCTCGCCCTCGCCCTCCTCCTGCTGCTGGGTACGCCAACATATAGCTTTACAAATACTTTCCACAACTTATATTTTTGATGGTTTCTTACATAAGAAGGATACAGAGATGAAGTTGTATTTTCTTTTCACAATTCACGTTTGTGTTTAATTTAATAGATAAATCTGACGAGGAATTTATCATTTTAATAGTAAATAAGTTGAAACAGAGTAATTTAATTAAAGATGCAATGATGTGACAAGTCAAGGTGTGGTGTTATCTTGTCATGTATTAAATAAACCTTGTCCTTGTTTTGCGTTTAATACACAATGTCATAGTTTTTATCGCGCCGCCGCCGCCGCCAGAGCTACAGTCGCGGCAGACATTTTTTTAAACCGTTTTTGTTGAAATCCATTTCCAGCCACTTCCGAATTTTAGCAATCTTTAGTTCCGCTTTAAATCGCTATCACTGTAATAAATCCGTCGATAACGAGAGTTGATTGGTTTCTCATTACAAACAATGATGAGAGGTTTTGATTTTTAGTCATATTTTTCAGTAATTATATAGTAGAATCGAGAACTTGAGTTATGGTCGCTGTCGCTGTCGCTGTCGCTGTGACTCACATGTTGACGTTACTTTTGTATAATTGACGTGTAGTGCTCAATTCGATATTTCCCTCATTCATTATCTATACTTCTATACTAATATAATAAAGCGTAAACACACTTCTTGGTTATGTAGGATGTCAGCAATCACAGCATTTTTATAAAAAAATCATTTTTCATTAAAAAGCCCTACACATTAAACTTGGGGGGTAAATAAATTGGGGTCAAAGAAACATGATTGCCATAGTAAAGGTAATTTTTAGCTAATGTCAACGGTCTTCTTTGTAATTTGTGTATTTCAGTTTTGAAGTTGCAAATAAAAATGATACAAATGTTACCACTATTTTTTTATAGTTGTCTGCGGATGAAGCCGCGCGGGACAGCTAGATGTTAATAAAGCATGTGTGTGCAGGATGGAGCGGCGCGCGCTGCGAG